GGCAGCGGGGTGAGCTACGTCTCTGCCGTTGAGGGCCAAGAACCGACGACAGGACGAACACCGACAAGAACTAATGATACACGAGACGTGACGGTACCGCTGCGGCGCATACAAGTGCCACCTGCGCGGAAAAACGAGGGTTCCGAAAAGCAGACCTCCAACACTGACGCCGACATGAAAGACGTGGACAATGACAACGGACATATGACAGAAAACCTCCAGCTGTTTCGCACGCAGCTCAGGCGCATTGATGCCGCGCTCGGAAAGATGGAGGCACGGACTAAGATACAGAGAAATATTAGTACGGATATAACGACTGGTATGGCTGTAATAAGGGAGGCGGTGGAGATTGCATGGAGTGAATGCGACCGCCTAAATCCCCTCCTGGAGTCCGTAAACGACAGGAGGACAGAAAGACAGAAAAGAAAGAGGGAGGACACGGGGGCCAGCCCTGAGCAAGCCGTGGCCTATCAAAGGGTTGCGGACGAGTCGGGCTGGACCACGGTGAACTCCGCGAACAGAAAAAAGAGGAAGTCTAAACAGAAGACTAATGACCAAACGACGGAGACGACTTCTCTCAAACAGAAGACGCAAAAGACTACCCCTGTGGTGGCGCTGGGCGCGCGGAGGGAGAGGCCACTAGCTTCGACATTCGCAGCGGCGACGCCTACCCACGGGAACAAACGGTCCGAACTAGACAAGAACCGGCCCAGGGCGGCTGGTCCTCGCCGGAAGGGGGGGACCAACGTTATACTAGTACGGCCAAACGACGGACGAACGTACGCGGATACCTTACGCCGACTAAAGACGAAGATTAATCCCGAGGGCTCTAAAGTGAGTATCTCGGGATATCGAAAGACCAAGGACGGAGGACTCCTCATGCGTTTTCGCTGTAACGCAGACGCAAGACGGAAGTTCCAGGAGAAACTCCAGGTTACTTTTGGAAATGAGGGTAATGTACGAGACATGACACACGGACAGACGCTAGAGATACTAGACCTCGACTGTGTTACAGACACGAATGATGTACAGAACGCATTGAAACGAGAAACAGGACAAGATGCGGACTATAAGATCCACATTTTCGGACCGAACAAACACGACGTTTGTATGGCAGTGTTCGAAGCAGACAGAGACACGACCCACAAACTGCTCAAGAAGGGCAGAATCAAGATCGGCTGGGTCAACTGTCGGCTGAGAGAAAGATTGACGGTCCCGAGGTGCTATCGGTGCCTCGGATATGGACATAGACGAACGGACTGCACAGGACCTGACAGAGGACAGTGCTGTTGGAGGTGCGGGGGAACCGGTCATGTCGGGAGAGCCTGCCCCACCAAACAGCCGACGTGCTTCCTATGTTCCGAGGCGCGTGCAACGGAGAGGGCGCACGTCCCGGGAACGGGAGCGTGCGCGGCCTACCGGGCAGCGCTGGAGGAGTGCCGGAAGCAGACACGACAATGACAGGAATCTTACAAGGAAACCTGCGTAGGTGTGAGACAGCCCAGCTGCTTGTATCACAGACAGCGAAGGAACGAAACGTAGACATACTGATACTGAGCGAGCAACTGTGGGACTTACGAGAGCAGAACGGCTGGTTCTCGAATACCCTCGGTACGTCGGCCATATAGGTCAAAGGCAAACCGGCTAGGAGAATACAAGCGTCTGGCAGGGGGGAAGATTACGCGTGGGTGAGGGTTGATTCCGTCACCTACGTCAGCGTATATTTGACCCCAAACTGCACGATGGCAGTGTACGAGGAAAAAGTCGGTAAGCTGGAAGACGCCCTCACAGGTCTCCCGGGTGACTTTGTCGTCGCGGGAGACATGAACGCGAGAGCGGTCGAGTGGGGTATGACAACGACGGACAAACGAGGAAGGCTGCTTCTGGAGATGGCCGCAAGGCTTGATCTGGTAGTGGTCAACCAAGGGACGACAATGACCTATAGACGACCGGGCTTCGGATACTCAATACCCGATGTGACGATGACGTCAGACAGGATCTCGTCGCGGATAAGAGGATGGCGGGTGACCGAGGACTATACAGCCAGCGATCATCAGCACATCGTCTTTGAGGTGACAGATCAATCGACGAACGTACGAAACGGACAAACTAGAGACAGGACTTCAACGTATTGGAACCTACGACGACAAGATAGAGAGCTGTTTGACAAACTGCTAAGGGAGGCACCGTTACCCGCCGAGTCTGTCCCGGCAGAGCTTGGTCTGCGGGAGCGTGCCGAATGGATAACGGACAAGACAATGGAACTGATAACGGAACTGTGCGACGCCACGATGACTCGACGCAAGGGCCGAACGCACAAACGAGCAATGTACTGGTGGACGGACGAGATTGGCCTCCTCCGTGGGGAATGCATTGCCTGCCGCCGGAGGATGAACCGCGCACGGAAAAAGAGCAGACCAGACGCGGACGAACTATCGACAGCGTACAAGATGGCACGTAAGAGACTGACTACTAAAATAAAGGACAGTAAAAACCGATGCGCTAGACAGTTGTGTGAAGAAGTGGAGTGGGACCCTTGGGGACTTGGCTACAGGATTGTGACCAAGAAACTGGGGGCCCTTGGCCCTTCTGAACCAAAAGACAAAGACACCATGAAAGCAATAATAGATGGACTTTTCCCAAACCAACCAGAGACGGAAGAAATGACGAACGAACAAGAGACGACAGTGCCAGAGTTTATCGGGGCAGAGCTCACTAAAGCTGTGTCCACGATCAAGCCTTGTAAGGCACCCGGACCAGACGGTATTCCGGGAGAGATCTTCCGGCAGATCGCGGGCGCACGACCAGGACTCCTCCTGGACAAGTATAACGCGGTCTTACGGGCGGGCATCTTTCCCAGACGATGGAAGACGGCTAGACTGGTTCTCCTGCATAAAGGAAAGGGAGAGCCGAATAGTCCGTCTTCCTATAAGTCCCTGAGTCTCCTAGACACAGCGGGTAAACTTTACGAAGCGTTACTGAAACCGAGACTGACGAACGCTGTAACTGCAAACGGAGGACTGGCAGGCAATCAGCACGGATTCCGACGAGGTCGCTCAACTATAGGGGCGATTCGACACGTGACCGACGCCTTCCGGCGGACGAGGCGCGTGTGCTACGGAGGGAGGCCAATAGTACTTCTCGCGACTCTTGACGTCAGGAATGCCTTCAACTCCGCTCGGTGGAGAGATATTCTGGAGGCCTTACAAGCTTTCAGGGTTCCCGAATACCTGATGCGGGTGGTGAGGGAGTACCTATACGACAAATGGATTCGATTCGAGACGACCGATGGAACAGTGACCAGACGAATCACAGCAGGAGTCGCCCAAGGTTCAATCCTTGGACCCGACTTCTGGAACATACTGTACGACGCACTACTAAGACTACCGATGCCACCGGGGGTGGAGCTGATTGCCTACGCCGATGATGTGGCTGTGGTGATAATAGCCCGTACCCCGGAGCTGGCGCAAATGCTACTGAATCGCGCGATGTTACGAATCAATAGATGGATGACTGGACGCGGACTTAGCCTTGCCCTGGCCAAGACAGAACTTATCCTTCTGACGGGAAGCAGGATTAATGCCCTGATTCCCATGACAGTCGGAGAGGTACCGGTGCAGGCCAGTGGGGTGGTCAAGTATCTGGGGGTGACCCTAGATACGAAGATGACCTTCTGACCGCACATACAACAGACAGCGAGGAAGGCGGCAGAGAGGACTTCCGCTATCAGTCGTCTTATGGCAAACACATTTGGACCGAGACAATGGAAGAGACGACTACTGATGACAACGACTCACTCGATCATGCTTTACGGTTCTGGTGGTGGCGGGGGTTATCCTGATAAACCTGCCAAAGAACGGAAACGCGTGTACGAACGAAACAACGACGTGACCAGAACGGAAGCTGCCCAGGATGAAAGAACTAGGACGATGACGGACTGGAACGAACGATGGAGGACGAGCACGAACGGAGCATGGATGAGACGACTCATCGACGACCTGAGGCCGTGGACGGAGAGGCAATTTGAGGAAGTGAATTTTTTCCGGACCCAGTTCCTTACCGTCCACGGGTACTTCAGAAAATATCTGTTTGACAGAGACAAAGTTAACAGCGCCGACTGTAAATACTGCGGACACGAATGTGACGACGCAGAGCATACATTTTTCGAATGCTCTCACTGGTCGGTACTGTATATTATAAATGTTGATAATCAGGAGCAGCTACATCTGTGATCGAAAGCAGTCATTACGGCAACTACTGTAGCCATACAGCCATGGGCCACATCGCGCGATGATGCCATCAGCCACGTATGCAGCAGCAGTAGTAACTAGTCGATGGAGCAGACAAGTTACCCCATTGATGGTTAGTCATTCTCTTTCTTCTCTGTACGCGTGAAAGAGGTGTTTACCCAACTGTTTAGGAAAACGAGCAGTTTTTGCCGCTGATGTGTGATTATGGCCTCGGAAAGTGTGCGACCGAGAAATATGTGAATCACTGCAGTGGTACAGAATTTCGCACTGCCCAATTCATGAGGTGGTCATGGTGCCGACGGTACGCTATTTTATACGCACGTGTTTATTATGTATTCTTCAGATTTAATAAATTGTCGAATATTATTCCAATGCACGTTATTCTTTATATGTATTATTTCCGTTCTCATAACCTGATATGGTATGATTCCGTGATCTGCGGTTTTCTTTGCAGTTCGGATGTACTCGTACTCTCCAAATCCACGAACGTAAAAATAATTTTTTAATGATTAACCGCAAGCAACTAAGCCAGCGACGGTTCTACTTCAGTTATTGCGTTACAAAACTATTACAGTCTTCTCTGAAAAAACAAAAAGTATTATATTACTCTTGACATATTTATAGAATAACATTGAAATAGATTGCCTGCCTATTGAAACTTTAAAGCTTGAAGTGTAAGTAACTATGATTGGTATTAAATTGAATTTTTCCTTGATAAGTAGCTATAATGTAATTTATTATAAAGGATATCATTTTGGCAGCTTCAGCTTCTCCTTCAGCTTGCACTATTTTTTGCTGTCTTTCTTGTTTCGCTCTTTCTACTACAAATGCAGCCCTTTGTGCTTCTTGTTGAGCAACCTGCTTTGCTTCAACGGCTGCTGTATATTCCTTACCAAAACTTAACTCAGTAATCGAAACATCATCAAGAATAATATTAAAATCTCGAGCCCGTTCCGTTAACTCTTTCCGCACCATCATCGAGACTTGCTGTCGTTGTGTTATCAACTGAGAAGCATTGAATTTTGCAACGACTGATTTTAAAACTTCATTGCATATACTAGGAAGTACCTATTAAGAAAAAAAATGTATTAACTTACAATATTGCATAAATTAAATAATAATAATAATAATAATAATAATAATTTTAACTCGGCTAGGTGGGGGGATATCTTGGAGACGCTGAAAAGCAACTTTGGGATTCTAGCATATCTTTTCTAGCAGACTTTCCCGAGACTAGAGTGCGAACTTTCTTTCCCTTGTTCACTGTGCGACTGCTAATAAGGTAAGCTGGCCAGCCTAATATCGCGATTTCCTATAAGGTTGTTAACAATTAATCTCTCGTACTCATTAAGAAGTGTGACGTCGGTTGACGAAACAATTCTTAGGCGCACTTTTTGGTCTATCCTTGCGGACAATAACCGGGACGTGCGTTACCACTATCGCGGGAAATTCCTTTTTTCGGCGACGGAGGATCGAAGCTTTGCTGTACCACACGCTAGGCAATATAGCAATACTTCGCGTTATTTTACCACACTCTTGGCAATAAAATAACGTAAAGGGAGCCTATCTAATATGCACTCGACCACACGCTTGGCAATCGAGTGTAACTATCTAAAAAGACAAACCGTACGCGAAACAAAAATAGGAAAGAATAAGGAGAGAAAAGAATGTAGAAAGAAGTTAGAATAAAAAAAATTTTATTTAATTTTTCTTACTCACTTTTTTTTTATGGTTTTCCCACACACACACTAAAGATTAACTAGGTCTGGACGAACTTGAAATAGCTAACGAATAGTTGTACGAACTGAGTCTGAGCTGCTGACTTCGAATGAACTGAATTTCGAAAAAATAATAGTAGTAATGCTGAATTTTCGTAAAAAGATCTCTTTTATACTTTTTTACAAGAGACTCCCACTCGAAAATCTTTGTCATTTTTGGGCAGGAAGAACTAAAATTTTCTCAACTTAATTGGTTGGAAAATTTGGGGAGTATCTCAGCGTAAGCAAGGTTCGAATCCTAATTGGCCGGGGGCGGAGTGTGCGGGTGTGGCTTCATTTTAGTATTTTGGGCCCTCTTCGCATAGATGGCCCTCTATGTACTATTCTGGCCTTTATCTATTTAAACTAATTTCATTTAAAATTAATTGTGTGTGTGGTACTCTAATTTTACAAAAATGTTTCTTAATCTATAATAAAACTAAATGATAGAACAAAAGTTAAGAATTACATTTATCTAAAACAATTAGAATATTAATAGTTTTAACTATTAATTGATTATTAAAAAGTTTGAGAAATGCTGAAAAAAAAATCAGAGTTAATTGCAACAAACATAATTAATAACTTTCATTCAAGCCATTCTTAAATTGTTTAACGCAAAGTTGAGCGCACCCAACAATTATATATACGAAACTCGTAAAGAAAATGAACCAATAAATACAGGAAGACAAATTTCGCAATTTTTCGAGAGACCTGCAAGCAAATCTGTTTCCTTTAATTTAAAAGAAATTAGCAAAAATGAAAATAAATTATTTAAAGTAAAATAATAGTACTGTTGGCAGGATGCACATGTGCGCTACAGATCTCTGCTCTCTAAACATGCGCGCAATCTGACTACTCCGGATGACGCGATCGTAAAATCGCCCTGATAATCTCCAGTACCCGAAAGTCGCCAGATGTACGAGCCGAAAACTGCTGTTCACAGGAAAAGTCGTTTTTATTCATCCGCACGCAGTTTTTCATCTTAATTTACGAGCTAAATGTGTGGTCGGTATTTTTTTATTTTTAAATTCTCTTTTCTTGTTTGAACCGCCGTTACACCCCCACACTTAAACGATTGCTTAAGGAGTGAAACGAGGAAAAGCAATCTAAACTTAAGATATGGTTCTAAGGATCTTGTCACACAAAATTATAGACATGAAGAGAATGAAATTAAAGACATATATATATAAAAAAAAAATTCCTTGGCTTCAACATGAAAGAAACCCAAATGATGGCTTGAGAGACGTAGATTGAGTTGGTGAAGTAGGATTATTTTGCTTATTCTCAGTTGTTTCATTTTTTGTAGGGTGCAAAGATGGATATAGATAATCCTTTTCCGGCGCTGAAGCGTCATTCTTTGCTGGTTCTGTGGTGTTTTCTGTCACCGTAACTTTCGGTGCTAAGTGTATCAAAAGCGTAGTTAAGCTGTTCCATATGGCGCTGATTAAATGGAAAGACCATCCATAAATGCTGTGGAGAGTTATTCCATTTATGAAAATCTCTATTAGTTTCTTAATGGTTTGTATAATTAACAGAATTGCAAATATTCCGGCACTGAATAATTCCGAAAGTCATAAATTTAGTCCACATTTTGTTCCAAGTATTGATCACAAACTTTTCCATCACATTTTCATTCAAGAGTCCTGTGATTATTTCTTCACGATCCTTGATGGCATGTCCACGAATCACTCGAACTACGTCGTTCACTGTTGTGGGTCGTTCCATAGGAAACATGATACGATTGGTCAGATCTTGTAGGTCTTTTTCCGTGTATATTCCACTGGTAGCAAGTGCGGGGATATTCTGATATTTCCATGTTAATCCAGAAAAAGGTTTGAGAGTAGTAGGGACTTTAGCCTCTACTGCCCTAGGTAAAAACTTATACCAATCTTCATTGAAATAGAAAAATGTGGGTAGCAAAACGTTGCAATCAACTATTGTTCCATGTGCTTTCAAAATGTGAGTTTTCGGAGATAAAAATTTTGTATGATTATTATGAATCACTCTCAGCTCAGCATAACACTCTTCACTTTGCGAGACTTTCACATCAACAGGTATGCATTTAACTATATGTACTACTTCACCTGCCGTCACAGCCATATATCCAGGTCCCTTCATGAGATTGTAAGCAAATTGATCAGGAGATTGCGTAGCAATAGCAAGTGCATTTTTCAAAATATCTCTTTCTTGACTACAACGTTGTACAACAACATCCCTATACAAATTTGTTATTTGTAACTTAATATAACGTTCCACAAATACAAACTTTGAATTTATATACGCAAATATATCTAAATTACTTAAAGAAATTTTCTTACTAGGAAATAACATATCGTTCTTAACCTTGTGTATGAACAATTTTGGATGTTCGGTATCACTAATCTCATAACCGCATGTGTATCGCTTAGACTTTGTTATTAACGCAAAAGTGATATCTTGTGTAGTTAAAGAGAACAGAGTTTGTCCAGTTTCACTTGTAACTTCATTAGCTACACCGTTATATAATACATTATATCGATTAATAGAACAAGAGTCGCGCGGTGCCCTTTCCCAAAATGTATATCCTCCCTCTGAATCGATACATTGTTCATTCCCAAATTTACATCTAACACCGCTACGCAAAATTATTTGATCGTTATTTAAATCGACGGAAGCGGTATATTCTTGGATGGTTATTTTGATCTTGGCTTGGACTAACACGCTACTCCAAGTTCCATAAACATCGGAGTAACTACCGGAGGTACACTTCCCATCTTGATTTACAGAGCCGGCAAGTATTGCTGGTCTAATCGAAGTTTGATTAATTTTTATGTCGCGAAATATATGTACATTATCGAAATACAAAGTACCGCTTTTATATAAATCATAACAATTTTGTCGGCTTACATCCATTAAGTATTCGATCGCACCATTTTCTACAATCGAATTGTGCGAGTGCATTCCACAATAATAAACCGTTCTATCTATTTGAATTTTACATTGAATTACATGTGTATCTTCGAAGTTGTTTAATTGTAACAATTGAATATGCTGTCTCGTTATATTAATATTCGTGGAAGGCACTTCACACTCTCCTACATCTAATAAGGATACAGTTGTTATGTTAAGTGATCTTCCTCCACAGTCGTATCCTATAATGGCCGTTACTGGAATAGCTATTGTAAGGGATAGCAGTAAAAAAAAGAAGAATGAATGCATCTTTCGTCTGTAATCAGAAAAATATTTTATTATATGCTCTTTCTTTTTGTTATTCATGTTTTATCAATATGCGAAACCCGAAGTCTATTCGCGTGTACAACTTTACTACCCTTTTTTATTTCTATTTTGACATTATTTTTCGGTAATATGGCTATAATTTTAAAAGGACCCGAATAATGATCACCAAATTTCCCGGGCTTGGGTCCAGATTTCAAAAATACATAATCACCTAACTTAAAATTAACTGGATTTATATGTTGATCGTAATATTTTTTTGATTTGAATTTGGAAGCTATTAAGTTCTCGTATGCCAATTTTTGAATTCCTGTAAGTCGTGTTACTAAGTCAGTTATATATCCCTTTTAAGTCGGCACCATGTCAGCTTCACGTAAGGGGTTACTGGATGGCAATCGGGCTAATCGACCGAAAACAACTTCGAATGGGGTATGTTTAGTGCTTTCTTGAACGCAGGTGTTATAGTTTAACATGGCCAAGTCGAGCCATTCGTCCCAATTATTGTCTATTTCTGTGTATTGTTTTAAATACTCAACAAGAGCGTGACGTGATCTCTCTAAAGAACCATTAGACTGCGGTCGAAAGGCGGTGGTTCTCAATTTCTTTATCTTGAAACGTTTAGCAATTCTGGTCATCAGTGAACTCAAGAAGTTCTTTCCTTGATCTGTAAGCACGGCTTTGGGACAACCGAAAACGCAAATGAATTTTTTAATAAACGCGTCAGCTATAGTGGATGATAGTGTATCTGTTAGTGGAGCAGCTAGACAAAACTTGCTTAACGGATCTTGTAGAGTTAAGACGTACTCATATCCTGTAGGGGTTTTCTTGAGTGGACCTACAATGTCCACAGCTATTTTATCAAATGTAGTTGCGGAGGTATCAGTGATTATCATTGGTTGCTTCGTTTGTAGACGAGTGAGTTTCTTTAGCTGACATTCTAAACACTGTTGTATTCGTCGTTGAATATCATCTTTTAGATTTTCCCAGTAATAATTTTGTCTAATCCGGTGAAAAGTTTTGGAAACGCCGCGATGTCCTCCAATAGGGGATTTATGAAGCTCATAAAATATTGCATCACGTTGCTCCAAAGGTACATAT